GACTGGCCGGCTACAGATCAGAGGTCCCCAGGTCCCCCTCCTCACGTTCGGTCACTTGCTAGAGCTGCTCACAGAACTCAGGCAAACAGTTAACTCCCTAGATCAGCAACTCATTATAAAAGGATACAACTCTGAACAGCCAGACGCAAAAGATGCTTCCGGCAAGGTGTGTGGCAGCCGGTGCAGGGTTTCCCTGCCCTCTCCGGGTGCGCCGTTGCCCCAGGACCCCCACGTGTTCACCAGTCTGGAAGCTCTCCAGACCTCTCCTGGGAGCGTTTTTTTCTGTAGGCCTCCTTACCTTGGTGTGATTGATTACACCACTGATCCCTAGTGATTCATTCAACCTCTGGTCCTCCTTTCCTCCCTTGGAAGTGGAGGGGCGGGACTGAAACTTCCAACCCCCTCCCCCACCCCCAACTGTTTCCCCTGGCCACCGGCCCTCATCCTCAGGTGTCTGGGGCTATCCCCGAGTCCCCTCATTAATATAACTCAGGTGTGGTTGAAAGGTGGCCCTTTTGTCCTTCTGGCTCCCATCTTTTAGGTAATTCCAAGAGTTTTAGGAGCCCTGTGCCAGGAACCAGGACCAAAACCAAATATGAATTTTCTTATTATAAATCACGTGATCACACGGTCTGTGATCGGCGTGGGCTGAGTCAGGGCATGATTCCTGAGCAACTGACTTTTAAGCCGATCAGATATATTCAAGACCGCAAGCGCTCTCTGGGTAGATTACTGTAGGATGAAGAGTAACAACTGAGGTGTTCAAGCTAAAAAGAAAAAAAAAGGGGGGGACCAGTGACAGCTGAAAACACCTGCTTTGTGCCTGATAGTCTGTAGCAAAGAAAAAAATACAGTTAGGGATGTCCGTCTGGGCGAGGGCTTTTGAGCTCTGGGAAGCGATTTTCTAGAGTGGCCAACGGATACCAGCTCCAAGCTGGTGGTGTTTCCTGAGGCCCTGGGCACTCTTCAGGGAGGGCTTGCTGGGGATGGAAAGTCGCCGCGGTATCGGCCTTCTTTAAGAGAGGATTCACTGTGGGTGAATTCAGAGACCCCTGTTCAGTGAGGGTGCCGCCTCCCTTTTAGGGTGTTGGGTTTTCGGCTTTGGCTTTGGCCTCAGGGTGCTGGAGGTTACGGGCTACAGGGAAAATAATCAGTTATTCCATATGGTTCGTACCACAACCTAAAAAAACCTCCGTGAGCTTCATAACCGCGGAGCGCCGCTGTGTTGGAGTTTGGGCCACAGGCGGGGAGGCCGTGGGAGTGCACCTGCGGGGGGGAGGGGGAGGAGGGGTGTGTGCGCATGCGCGCCTGTGGGTATGCGCATGTGCACCTGCGTGTATTCGTTTCTTCGGGGCTCCTGGCTTTTCTTCGCAGAGAAGTCTTACCTGGTCCCCGTAACAGGCAGCATTTCCCCTATGGCCGAGCGTGTTTGTGAAGGCTTTCTCACAGCCGATCTCCGAGAGGTGACATCTTACCTGTGTGTTCTCAGAGTCACCAGTGCCGGTGGAGACATCAGATCCTCTGTCCTGGGAGCAGGTGGCGCAGGGCGGGCGTGAGGGGTAGAGTGTGTCTGCGGCCGCAGGGAGAGGTCGGAGTAGGGCATCATCAAGGGCCCAGGGCTCACTTCTGGGCATTTATACTTGGCGGAAAGCCAAGGGCAGTTCTGTTCGCTTTTGCGTTGGAAGCAATTTGATGGAATTTAAGACACAAAATAGATGAATATATGGGAAGGGGCTGGGGGAGGGCGGGTAGCGGGGAGAGGGAAACAAACCACAAGAGACTCTTAAAGATAGAGAACAAACAGGGTTGGGGGGGCTAGATGGGGGATGGGCATTAAGGAGGCCATTTGTGAGGATGAGCACTGGACCTTATATGTAAGTGATGAAACCCTGGGTTCTAGCCCTGAGGGAGCCGTGAAGGGCAGCAGGGTGGTTTTCTGCCCCCTCCCCCACTCCCTACCCCATGAGAGCTTGGGGGACAATAGGACAGGGCTGCAAATGGCCGGCAGGGATGGTGAGGACATGGTGAGGTTAGAAGGTCTCCTGAGGTCACGTGTCGGGGTGGCTGAAGCCTGGAAACGTCCAGAGTCTTCTCTCTCCCTGATCTGTGGGTCCCATTCACTCTCTTGTCATTACTCATCTTTGAAAAACAGGTGTATTTCACATCCCTTCCGCAGTCTATTCTGAAGACGATACGTTTTGCTTCGCTTAGCTTTTGTAGACTTAACACAGTGGATAACTCAAAGAAAAATATTCTTTTTCATTTGTTTGCTTAAGTGCAAAAACAGGGAAATTTCCCAGTGACAAAAATACATCCTCCGGGCTTACTTCAATCTAGGTACATGATGGGTAAAGGTGGGAGAAGGATCCAGAGAAACAGGATGGCAGAGGAGACCCCACAAACGCCAGGTCCCCCTTGTCTCTGGAGCTCGATGCCTTGTATACACCGTTTTTTACCAGGACGTTAGCATGGTTTTCCCAAAGGGAAGTTTCCCAGAGTTATTGGACGTTAAAGTCTCAGGTCTGTTTTCAGAAGTCATGGATGGCTGTTAACTTGCACCCAGGAGAGCTGACCTGCTCTGGCCAGCTCACTCAGGGTCACCTGCTCCCGCACCCTGAAATCCTCAGGCTTTCTTGCTTGTCCCTGGTTTTTCCCATTTGGTCTGCTCCCAGGGAAACCACTCAAGCTGGGCTGGTGCTCTGCGCAGAGACTCTGGAAACCAGCCCGTGATCCCAGCCCCGGTTTCCTTGCTGACCGGTGTAAGAGCGTGGCCGTCAGCTGGGTGGTGTTCCTTGTTCCCAAGGGAGAAGGCAGTGTAGATTTTAGGACAAGGCACGCAGCATCCAGAAATCCCTTACATCTTGGAAGAATACATCACAAGATTAAGGAAATAAAACTGGAGTACCCGTGGGGAATATGAAAGTTGCACTTGATTTTCAGGGACCACATGCTTAAGTGAGGGAGTGTTTAGTTTGAAAAAGTTTAAAGAATATATACTGTGTGTATAACTTCTCTGAAACAATTTTTTTTATTGTCTATTCATTTTTGAGGGACAGAGACAGAGCGTGAGTGGGGGAGGGGTAGAGAGAGAGAGAGATACAGAATCCACGAAGTAGGCTCCAGGCTCTGAGCTGTCAGCACAGAGCTCGACGTGGGGCTCGAACTCACAAACCGCGAGATCATGACCTGAGCCGAAGTCGGACACTGAGCCACTCAGGTGCCCCATAACTTCTCTGAAACAGTTGATGTCCCTCATTCGTTTATACTAAAGACCGCAGGAATGGTGATGAACTTGGACCCTGGAACCTGAGCTTTGCTCTGCCGCTTAAGAGCTGTGTGTCCTTGGGACTGTTGCTTAACTTCTCTGTGCTTAGTCTTCTCATCTGCAAAATGGGAATAATACTGGCGGCTATGGGTAGTGAGTGAGTTATTATATTCACAGTGGTTGGAACAGTGCCCGATTCATAGTAAACGCTGTTACAATATTAGCTATTTAGCTATCAGGCGCTTTTTTCTGAACTCTGTTTCCTTACTGGTACAATCAGGAGGGTGGACTCCCTCAGTGGTTCCACGTTCTGGCTGAACACTAGTGTCCCCGGGAGAGCTGTTGACATCCTGATGCCTGAACCTCTTTCCCTGCCTCCCTTGAAACAAAATCTATGGGGAAAGGGCCGAGACATTCGCGTTTTTAGGAAAGCCTCCTCTGTGATTCTGGGACACAGTGAGGCTGAGAACCAGGGGAGGAGATGGTGCTGAGATGCCTTCCAGGTTGCGAGCCATCATGCCGTTTCTCTCTCGAGGGGTGTTCGCTTCCCTTCCCGTTCCCGGTGCGCTAACGTGTGCAATTAAACTTTTCTTCCTTCTTTGAAAAATTGAGGTGAAAGTTCCATAACGTAAAATCAACAATTTAAAAGTGTACAGTTTGGGAACATCTGGGTGGCTCAGTCAGTTAAGCGGCCGACTTCGGCTCGGGTCATGATCTCGAGGTCCGTGGGTTCAAGCCCCGCGTGGGGCTCTGCGCTGACGGCCCGGAGCCTGGAGCCCGCTTCGGATTCTGTGTCTCCCTCTGTCTCTGCCCCTCCCCTGCTTGCGCTCTTTCTCTCTTAAAAATAAATAAACATTAAAAAAATTAAAAATAAAAGGGTACAGTTTCACCGCATGGACGTTCACAGTCCTGTGTAACCACCACCTCTGTCTAGCTCCTCGCCATTTTCATCACCAGAAAGAAAACTGGATACCCCATTAAGCCTTCCTCCCCGCCCCTGGCATCCTCCAATCTGTTTTCTGTCTCTGTGGCTTTACCTATTCTGGATTTATCCATTTAGCCACTGATGGGCATTTGGGTTGTTTCTACCTTTTGTCTCTTGTGAATGATGCTGCTGTGAACATTTGTGCCCAAGTGTTTGTTTTTTTAAATTTTTTTTTCAACGTTTATTTATTTTTGGGATAGAGAGAGACAGAGCATGAACGGGGGAGGGGCAGAGAGAGAGGGAGACACAGAATCGGAAACAGGCTCCAGGCTCTGAGCCATCAGCCCAGAGCCTGACGCGGGGCTCGAACTCACGGACCGCGAGATCGTGACCTGGCTGAAGTCGGACGCTTAACCGACTGCGCCACCCAGGCGCCCCTTGCCCAAGTATTTGTATGAGCACCTGTTTCCTTTCTTTCTTCCTTCCTTCCTTCCTTCCTTCCTTCCTTCCTTCCTTCCTTTCTTTCTTTCTTTCTTTCTTTCTTTCTTTCTTTCTTTCTTTCAACATTTTATTTTTTGAGGGATGCAGAGACACAGAGCCTGAGCAAAGGAGGGGCAGAGAGAGAGACACATACACAATCCGAAGCAGGCTCCAGGCTCTGAACTATCAGCACAGAGTCCGATGTGGGACTCAAACTCATGAACTGTGGGATCATGGCCTGAGCCGAAGTCGGACCCTTAACCGACTGAGCCACCCAGGTGCCCCTGAGCACCTCTTTTCAACTCTTTTGGGGAACGTACCTACCAGGGGAATTGCTGGATCGTACGATAATTCTTGATTTCACTTCTCGAGGATCTTCTCGACCGCACATGATTGACTTTGAAACTCTGTTTTTGGCCCTCACAGATCTTCCTTGACCTGTCCCCACTGCCTGAAACAGAGCAACACCTTTGATCCTTTCCTGTGTGTGTCACTACCTATCCCCTTGCACCAGACGAGGTACGTGAGCTTGAATCCCCGTCCTGAGGCCCTCCTGGGTACCTTCTGCCTTGCACCTACAGTTCTATCTGTCTGGCGTCTCAGCCAGCGTCTCTTTAGAAACTAGCCTTGCAAAGCCGGTGATGGTCAGTTGTTGAATGTTGACACCGTGAAAGGCTACCGCGTCCCTTCTTTGGCCGCAGAAGGAACTATCCACAGCGCTTCTGTCTGTCGGCACCGTAGCCAGGCTTTCGTCTCTGGCCTGCTGGGAAGCTGGCACGGGCCTGTCACCACCTCCCGGCAGACCAGGGGCCAACCTATAAAAAAAAAAAAAAAAAAAAAAAAAAAAAAAAAAAATTTGTTGCCACCTGCTTCTCCCTGCTTTGCTTCCAAATCCTTTTTGCTCTTTGTGAAGGTGTAGGAAGACGGTTTCTTTCAGGAGCAGAGAAAAAGGGAAGGGGGTGTCGAAGGAGAGGAGAAAAACAGAAGAGAGGAGGGTAGGGTTCAGTAAGAGGCATGGTGGGCTGGGCTTTTACAAGTAAGAGGCACGTAGTGTAGGAGTTCTAGAAGGCCGGGTCTTGGCATGTGACCGCTAAGACACCTGGCCAATGTCGGCCTCGTGGCCGTTTGGTGAGCACTGCATTGGCACTGAGACGGCTCTCTCCCTCGTTTTCTCCGAAAATATCATCTCTTGTGCCCTCCGCTGCTGACCTCCATCTCTAGGATGCAGCTGAAGATACAGAGCTCCACACAGCCTCTCCTGGCCACTTGATCCCCATTTCTGCCCCTCTGTGCCGCAAATGCACCACTGGCTTGTCCATCACCGGTGATGCCTACTGATGGTTGTGAGCTCAGATTCCCGGCCTGACGCAGCATCGCACGGTGGTTGGGAACGCTGACTCCGGGGCTCGTCTGTCCGGGGTTCAAATCCCAGCTGTGTCCGTGAGCTGTGCAGGAAGGAACACGAGGCACACTGGATGACCTAGAGGAGTGAGCCCCAGTGCGCTGGTGGGGACAGTAGGAAGCAGAATGAGACACACAAGAGAGTGTCCAAGGGAAAAGAGTCCAGAGGGGCTTGAGGCGGAGGGCGTGGGGGAGGGTGGGCGGAGGGCAGAAGGAAAAGTGTCCTATTACTGAGGGGAGTTTCAATAAAGGACAGCGTCATCAGTGGTCCTGAATCGTAGTGGAAGAAGCTTGACCATTTTACATAACAGATTTCAAAGTTTGCTTTTGCTGAAGGCGATGGATTTAACAAACGGAACCTTGAGATCTCAGATCTGTACTGTGATTGTCAATCAGATGCCTTTTATTTTTAACTAGCTTTAGAAAACTGTGCGGGGAGCGGAGGCCCTTCCGCCGCCACCTGGTGACGGTATACCTAAAGTACGGTTGGCTTGACCCTGAAGCAGAGATTAGCCTAAGTGTTGGACTTTGACCCAATGTCAGTGGTGTTGGCAGTTCATGTCCATCCTGTAAGGATGTGGACATCTTCGTGTTTTCCAGATTCTTGAGCGTCACGTTGGTCTTCCCCTCGAAGAGCCAGCGGTTCCTGCGGGTTGGCCTGGCCGTGCCAATCCTCAGCACAGTGGCATCCCTGAGGAAGATGGTCGCAGAGGAAGGCGGCGTCCCTGCGGATGAGGTGTGACGGAATTGCACGGGGGGCCCGGTCACCGAATGACTGGAATGCTAACTGGGCCCGCTGACCAGGGCTGTTTAGGCTAATTTCTGGTTCCCAGGTGACTCCCTAGTGACTCGTGAGTTTCTGTTTGATTGGTGACAGTCCCTGGTGTCTGTCTGGCATGACCGAGCCTTGACCTCTCCCTGCGTTTACTCAGAATTGCCAGAAAAGGATGAGCAAAATCGTCATAATTGCGACCCTAGTAATTGCAACGCCAGCAAACCCTCCGTGGTGTTTCCCAAGTGCTGGGCGCCATTTTATGAACTTCATTCGTAGCCGCTTTCATTGTCATCACCTTGCGAAGTCAGTACCACAGTTCTCCTCCTCCTACCGGTGAGCCGAGAGGGGGCCCTGAGAGGTTAAGTGACCCGCCCGAGGTCACACAGCTGGTAAGCAGCTGACCCAGGATTTGCGCGCAGGTGGTTTGACTTCACGGCCCAAGCTGCGTACTTCCGCTCCTGAGAATAGGAACCAGGACACTGAAGGGGCGATAAGTGACAAACGAGCAGCTACTGAGGATGTGTGAGAGAGGAGGTTTAGGGGAGACTGGGAGGGCTGTGCACTGCCTTTTTTTTTTTTAAAGGGGTCTTGGTAAGGAGGTCGGATTTACTGTGACTTTGAGGGCAGAACTTGCAACAGGGACCCCCGTGAGAGGGCAGGGTGGAGGTGACGGTGGTCAACAGCCATGTGGCATGATGGGAAGGAAGGGTTTGGAAGAGGGTTCTTCTTAGGATTCAGTCAATCTCTACTTTTCTGACCTTGGACAAAGTAAGCAACCTGTCCTCTGCATCTTTAACTGTAAAATGCAGATTTTACATTTCCCCCCGATGACCTTGCAGCATTTGGGGCACCTGGGTGGCTCAGTTGGTTGAGCATCCGACTTCGGCTCAGGTCACGATCTCGCGGTCCGTGAGTTCGGGCCCCGTGTCAGGCTCTGTGCTGAGCGCTCAGAGCCTGGAGCCTGTTTCAGATTCCGTGTCTCCCTCTCTCTCTGCCTCTTCCCTGCTCATGCTCTGTCTCTCTCTCTCCCTGTCAAAACTAAATAAACAAAAACAAAATTTTTAATGTTTAGCCTTTCTGTTTAGGAATAACACACATGCTATAAAGGATGCGCACCTTGAGGGTGTGGTTTGTTGAGTTCTTCTGTGCACATCCATCCATGTAACCTCCAAGATTACGCACTCTGTGGGCTCCTTCCTGCCCCTACCGAATCAGTGCCTCTGATCTTATCAGCGTTTTTACCGGGGTATCACGTGGGGGAAAAGCGTGTATCTTGCTTGGTGAAGTCAAAGTGCTCTTTGGGGATATATTGAGAGAGAAAGAGAAAATAGGACAGGGGGTGACAGTCTTGGGAGAAAAACCACAAGGGGAAAAAATGCCCAAAGGGGGATGTCTGTGAGGTGGAGTTTGCACAACTCAAAGAGTAAAATAATTGTCAGAAATTTGAGAAGTGTGGTGCGTAGGGAGGTAGGAATCACTTGGGATTCCTAAGTGCACAGGCAGGCATTTTGATTGGAACTTCAACTCTGCTTTATTTTAACTGGCGGGTTTATTCCCCTTACATTATCTATGATCATGGATATACTTGGATTTATTTGTATTTTCTTTTTATGCTTTCTGTTTACCCTGCTTTGTCTTTGATTCCTTTCCCTCTCCTTTACTGCTTCTGTTCTATTGAGCAATTTTTATTTCATCTCTTCTGCTTTGGAACATATATATGCTATTTCTATGCTTCTTTAGTGGTTGTCCTTAAAACGCCAACATGCATAATTTAGCAAAGTCTTATGTTAATCTTCCCTAACAGCACAAGGATCTTGGCGTGCTTCAATCTCCCTTCCGCTGTTTTATTACTGTGGATATTATTGTCCAGTATTTTTTTCAATATTTATTTATTTTGAGAGAGAAAGAGAACATGAGTGCATGCGTGGGGGAGGGCCAGAGAGAGAGGGAGAGAGAATCCCAAGCAGTCTCTGCACTCAGCATGGAGCCCAATGTGGGGCTTGATGCCCTGACCTGAGATCATCAAGAGTCCTGATATCAAGAGTCCAGTGCTCAACTGACTGAGCCACCCAGGCGCCCCCTGATTGTCCGGTATTTTAATCTCTCCTCCCCTTTCTCCAGGTGTAGTAATGGTACTAGTTGTTATTATTGTGGATTTATGTAGTCAGCTCATGTTTACATTTACTAACGTCTACCCTTTTCTTTGGCTCATCATTTCTTCTTAAAACTCAAGTTTTTTTTCTGGATTCTGTTTGTTTGTTTGTTTGTTTGTTTGTTTTAACCCTGAAATGCATCTCTTACAAGAGAATTTTGTAGCTAGTGTGCCTTGAATGGGTTAGATGTGTTGAGATGTTGATTCCTTCAGCCCTCGAGGTGACAGGACCCTCAAGGTGGTCACCCCTTTTCTATGCTACAAGACCAACTTCTGCTTATCCCGGTGTTCCATCAAAATAAACTCCACATTTACCGTGATGTGAATAAAGTTGGCAAAACTATTTAGAAGTTCTTTCACTGGAGATCTGTTAACAGTAAACACTCTTAACTTTTCATCTGAAGAGAGCTTTATTGTATTGTCATTGCCTACATGATAGTTTAACTGGGTATAAAATTTAAAAACAAATCCCCCCCCTCTCCAATTTTCTTCCCCCATCTCTCCCCTCAGCAGTTTGAGGGAAGAGATTGTTGCCATTGGGGTATCTGTGGCCAATCTAATTGTTATACCTATTCTGTTTTATTATGAAAAATAAGTAGTGTTTTTCACCTAAAAGAGTAAAAGAGATGTTAGAGACTATCAGTGGCTTTTGGATTTCTTGCTTAAGTTTCCTTTGAGAAATCAAGAGGGAAAATTATCTTCCTTATTCCAGGTGATCTTAGTTGAACTGTGTCCCAGTGGATTCCAGCGGTCTTTCTTTGATGAAGAGGACCTGAATACCATTGCAGAGGGAGATAATGTATATGCCTTCCACGCCCCTCCACCACCTGGCCAGGAGATGCTCTCGGGTACGATGTTGCTTTGCGTAACCGTATTTGGATGTTATGAGTTACACGTTTGAGAGTGTACTCCTTGCATGCTAAGGCATAAGACATTTACTTTTTGAATTTGGACCTGTCAGGCTTATTTTCTCTGATATTTGCTATACAGATGGTTGATTGTCAAGAATTATCTAATCACTCAGGGGTTCTCAAAACCTTGATGAGTATCAGAGTCACATGGAAAGCTTGTTGAGGCAGAGGTGTGAGTCCTACACACACAGTTTCTGGTTGAGTAGGTCTGGGGTAGGACCCGAGAACTTGCATGTCTGACGGGTTCCCAGGGGTGCTGCTCCTGCTGGTCCTGGGACCACCCTTTGAGAATCACTATTCAGAATAGGTGCCCGGGTGATCTTTGTCTTTAGGACTCTTGTAGTTCAAGGCCTGTGTTTGCTTGAAGTAAAATGGTTACAGATTGGAGCAGTAGATGGCCAGAAAGGTTATTAAATGACTTTTGTTAACAACCCCACTTCCTGATGCTTGCTTTTCCTGAACTTTGCACTGGCCTAGAAGGTCAGTATCCGACAGTCTTCCGTGGCAGTTCATTATACATTCTGGCCCAATTAGCTAGTCAAGAAGGCCTGTATTTGGAGGAGCCTGGGCCAGCATTGCCATATAGCCCAAGTGAATCCTGTGCCCTTGGTCATAACCTCAGCCAGCCTAGGTGGCAGGCCATGGGAACCAGGTGTCTGGTTTCTCTGAGTCAACAGGGAGCCCCTGTGCCTGGAATCTGGAATAGGGCATTGACTGGCCCTGATTATGTTATAGTTCAATGAAAAGGCCTTCATGTCAGGTTCAGTCAAAGGTAACACACCTGTGCTTTGAAAGTCAAATTTTCAGACCGGAGTGGAAATTGAAGATTGTCTAACTCTTCCACATCCTCAAGGGTGAAGATTCTTACCTTCTATGTGTTCTTCTTTCGTTGGCTGAGAAAGCCAGAGCCAACTCATGGCTCTCTGATCAAGGCATAAAAGCAGCCCGAATCATTTTGGAGTATTTTTCAGATTGGTTTTGGGAAGTGTTCACTAAAATCCCTGCCCACGTTTTAATATTACGGGCTGAACACAATGGCAAATTCACTACCACGTATATGACCTTTGTATACCAGGTATCAGATGGCACAGGGGTCACATATCTTAATATCTCTTTCCTTAAAGTGCTCTGGAGTCTCCCAGGGGTGGTTGATAGATGCTCAAAAGAGAAGAGGGGCAGGAGAAGCCGGGGCTGTGCCCCAGCGAATTCTTTAAGAATGCACCGTAATTCTCTCTCTTTAGCTCACCCACCTGGTCTTTCCATCTCCCCGCGCTTGGCAGCCCATGGGGGTCAACGGTTACCCCCGCCTGTCCAGAGTGAGAACAAGGTGCTGATCCTCCTCTGTAACTTGGCGGGGTCCGGGCAGCAGGCCAGCAGGTATGTTTCATTCCATCTTCTTTTTATGTGATGCCTGGGATGTGTGGGCATGGACTTGGAATTCTGTCTAGAGTAATTCGAATTTAATAAAATCAAACATCCATTCTCAAGGTTAATCAACTGGGAGTAAGGTACTTTCTTATCATGAGGATCATCAGTAACCGCCTTAAGCAGATGGCGAACGAGGGGCTCCTGGTGGCTCAGTCAGTTACGCGTCCAACTTCAGTTCATGGTCTCGCACTTCGTGGATTTGAG